GAAAATTGAATACCGCTCAAGCCGGTGGCAATGGGCGTGCGGGATTTTGCACGTTTTCATTATCCCTTATGTACAGACTCAATCAAATCGAGTCTGCAATTTTCATGTTACTTTGTTATAAATGCTTCCGAAAGATAAGTTTTCAAGATTTTGCTAGTTAAGCACCCCCACCCCCTGTTCACTGTAGTAAGCCATATTGAATATACCATAGCACAGTTCAGCCACCGCATCATTCCTGGGAAGGCTGTCAAGCAATTAACCAGTACTAGTTGCTTACACTTTTGCAAGGGACTAATAACGTCTGTGCAGACCTTAAAAAGGGTACAGTGCGAACGACCGTAGAAAGGATTACATGATAAATCACAACGAAAGTAAATCATATCATCCGGGAATCAAACCTGGTTTACTATTCAAAGCTAACCGAACGGCACTTAAAACGCTTAATCTATCGGGACGCCGCCGCTATGTTTCACTTTACACAAAAATTAACTATCCTTTAGCACACCCGTAAACACGTGGTAGAACTTACTATATAAATGTCAGTTTTAAATCTAATTTTCTATGCAATCGATTGCAGAACAAAAAAATAATTACCAAGCGCACAACTGTTCTACCCGCAACAAACGGATCTTCTTGCAACCAGTGAACGGATGTGTGTATAATTTAAGTAAAAATATATGATATTTTCAAAATAAAAAGTTGTAACGGTTTAAAATTACAGCATCATAAACATTGTAAAAACTTTACTTTTATGTTTTTTTCTTCGGACAATACATGAATAACTCATTTAGTTCAATATAAATGCACGACATTATGGCAAAATTTTATCTTTTGATGATATATTATTTCAAAAGGCCCAAACTACAAGGTGTGGGATAATAGCTTTAAGGACATTATGTTGTGTACCTTCCTGGCAAGTTAAGTGATTTTCATAAAAGACAATAAAACAGTATCTTTACACGCAATATTATACCCACGTGGACAACGTGCCTTGCTGAAATTGCTGGAGCGATTGTATAAAACGACATTCCGCACAATGTTGTTTTTTTTTCGGACAAAGTACGTCTGTAAACGGTCTGACTTCATGTAAAATAAACAGAGAAGAATTGATCAAGAGTTTGATTACAATTGTTCATCTTAATTTTACAAAATGAAGTCAGGAAATCCAAATGACCATTCTTAGATTAGTAAAACAATCTAAATGTTCATTCTGAAATGCAAACACGTCCTTATTCCTACAACAATCTAAAGGTGTTTTTGAATCTCAGTTTAAGTTACATTTCTCGGATATTTTATACCACTGAACATTGCTTCCAACTAAACATTTTACAACAATAAACACTGCTTTCACATGTTTTAAAATTACATTAATTCTCTTGTGAACAGCTTTTTTTAACATAACAATGTACTGAGTTACAAATGTCGTAATTACTATAAGTTTTGCCTAAAACAACCAGACTACCAATACCGCTCACGATCCCAGAAACTCATGTGCATAAAAAAACAACAACAAAAAAAACGCCACATAAAAACTCTAAACTCTTCCGATGATTTTCAGAAGTTCACGATTTTATATGATTATTGATGTGTTCAATTGATTTGAATGTCACAGGGTGAGAACAATGTGCAGCCGGACTGGGACTCCAACCCGGGACTTCCCTTCCGCTAATCTCAGGTCATTTCTCTCCTAAATAGTGAATAAGATAGTTTTATTCTATTCCCGATTCAATCAGAGTTTTGTGATTTAACTCTAAACTATATGCAGTCACGGTGTCACATTGGGTGTCAGATGTCACAGGTGATAAAAATATGCAGGCTTACCGCGCATTGAACCTAGGACCCTCGGGATACCGTTCCACTGCTGAACCGACTGAGCTATCCCGCCGCTTATACCTCCTCACCCCAACATAGTTCTGAACCATGACATATTTTATTGATCCTCATACGTATTTCTTCATATCGAAGAAGCATACATTAATTTGCACATTAATTGTAAAATTATACTATGTCAATCGTACAAAAAGTTATTTATGAGAACTTCTGTTAAACCACGTTACATATTGCTAAATAAATTGTGTTAAAATAATATATCGTATTCGTTATTTAAAACCTAAATGAAAGAAAAGGTGAATTGAAACCTAAATGTTGAGTACGCATCAAGTTGTTACGGTTTGTTTGTGGTGAGGCTTCGGTATTCGGTAAAATTGTATGGGATTAAGGATAAATATTATCCGGAAACTTACATAGGTATATTTTGGTGTTTTTGTTCACAATAATGTATTCATTTTTTTGATAGTTAAGATCATTTTAAAGAGTAAAACAAGTACGTTACATCAACATATACAACAAAAATATCACCATGTGGATTAATTCATGCATAAAACACATATTTGCCCAATGAAAACATATTGACTCCTGAAATTCATAACCTGCTTATAATCAAAACATTTTAACATCCAAACGTGATATGAAATATTTAATTTTAGGTCAGAGTCTTTGAGTGGAGATGTTGCTATACATACGTAGTACAATTTGTTGCACCAAACCTACTGTCAGCCCTTTATAAATGTTTGCATTAAATAAGAACAAGTTAAATGTTGATGCTGCACATCAAAGATGCCGCACAATGATGCACAATATCAGTCTTGATAATTGTTCTCCATTACAGTTGAATATCCGAAGCACTAATCAATTTTTCTAAAGAACGGACCAACTTTACCTGTCCTGTTATAGGAAACGCAGCTTCCCATATATAGTTCTTTAAAAGTGATTTTGGGAAACATTTTAGGGACGGGTAAAAATAGGGAAATCCTTTATTCATTTCTGGTTTATATAACATTTTTAAAAGAACGATTATTAAACCAAGGAGGAGATTATATTATAATAAAGATGCTACACTTCTGAGCCTCGTCATACATGATGTGAGTGGTGCCAAAGAACAAATATCGTACGTCTTTAGCAGATGGTAACGCACATACATGAGATAGTAACAAAGAAGAAAATTAAAAATATTTTTTTATATAACAATATTCAAATAAATTTGAAGTTCAGAATGGAAATAATCAAGGAAATCCAGGCACTTGATTTATACATCTACTCACATATGATTTGGGTGTTGATAATGAACACATATTTGAAATTTGAAGTAAATCCATAAAGAAAATTGTAGAATAGATAAGGAAAAATTTTAAAAAATGATTTAAGGGGGAATAATTCTGTAAATATGGACGGTAGATTTATGAAGCTTGTCATATTATCATGATATGGTAGTTTAAAGTAAATCGTTTAAGAAATCAAAAAGTTTGAGTAAAAAATCATAATTTCTAGGAAAAAAATAAAGTTCAAGGGGGGCATAATTCTGGAAATGGTCAAGCTCGAGTATTGAATCTTCTCACATATGAAATTAGTAACAAAATGTATTATATACTTGAAGTTTGAAGAAGAAAGAAAGAACGAAGAAATGTGGGTGATGATAAGATTAGACTGCCATATAACCATATTTTAAGTTAATAAAATTATTTTTGGTACATTATGCGTTATCAAGGATCCAATGTTGTGAACGAACAGTATTGTAAATTTTAACCAAAAGAAAGAAAACTCAAACTCATCTATAAAAGTATTCATGCGGACGGCACTTAGGAAACAAATGTTTGTTTGCCATTGTTGATGTTTTTTGGTACACATGCGTTTCTGCTAGTTTTCTTTCACGAAAATAATTCATTATGTCAAAAGTAAGCAATCAACAATGCCCTGAAACCGTCAGAATATTCATGCCGGCGTAAAAGGCCTCTAACAACTTTTGTTGTGCGGTGTTTATCAATGAAGTTGCATCATATAAGTACATTAAAGGGTGATCCTTCATTTATGTACATAAGTCTCAAATAACAAAAAGTTTTTATGTAAATAATAAATGAGTAAGTATTTCCTGTTGAAAGGGATTATATGGTTAATTATAAGGTGTAAAACGTTGACAGTTTATTTCAAGGCTTTTAACGAGCATGTTTTAGACACAAGGCAGAAAGAAACCGTTCTGTTTTGTTGTAATTATTAAAGATCCTGTATGCCATAAATAAGGTTGTTACCACACTCAAGTGAAATTTATATATGTATATAATTATGCTTCTTAAACGATTTTCAAACATCGAAGAATATGTAAAATATGTACTGAAAATATTTGTCCACATTATATGTAATCATTAAAATATATGCATTCATTTCTGATTGAAAAAGAAGACTTCTAAATAAATAAATCAATACATTTAAAATTACCTCCCTTTATTTATATGGAATTTAAATTTGGTAATTTCATCACAAATAATGATTTTTGGAACTTACAATATTGATAAATCTTCATTTGAGCGTCATATTTATGATATAAAACCATATAAAGTAAGTTAAAGGATCTTATTTTCAAGAATTATTAAATAGTTATTTATCACGGGATTGATTGATGTGCAAATTAGACACAAATGTTATGAAATTTCGGTTACATTGATAGATACTGCGGCACATTTTCAGATTTTCTTGAAGTTGCTTGTGACTTAAAACCTAGAAATATTGTAGATTTACATTTAATATTAACAGGAAGATATTAAATTTGTTATATTTGCAAAGTGGAAGGAATCGGTTATAATCTTCAAAAGAGACAATTTTCGTTTTACTTAAACAATGTTATATTGTTATATTCTGTCAATGGCAATGGTCTGGAAACGGAATTATCTACCATATCAAACCGACAAGCGGAGATTTGTGAAGTTTGTCAAAGCAATTTACGAAAACATAAACGAGTTGATACTTATCACAAATTTGAAACGTCAGGATCAAAACGTTAAAGAAGTACATGTTTGTATTCATTGATTTATAAGATTATTGCTGTTGACATGAAAATCCATAGTATTTGTTAGTATTCTAGTATATTATTTTCCCAGCCTTTCTAAAGATATCTCAATAATAAACAGTTCATTAAACAATAAAATATTTAAGCTTAAAAAGTAACAAACCTGTCCCTTGCCGTCTTTTGATCTCATCAATGTCTCTCTTCACTTCAGTTACATTTTCCTTTATGCCTTCAATGTTTCTCTTCACTGCAGTATCATTTTCTTTTACATCCTCTAGGCCTTTCTTCACGTTAGTTACATTTGCCTTTATGTCTTCAAGGTTTCTCTTCATTGCAGTATCACTTTCCTTTACGTATTCAAGGTCTTTCTTCACTTTCTTCACATCAGTTACATTTTCCTTTATGTCTTCAAGGTCTTTCTTCACGTCAGTTACTTTTTTTCTCACGTCTGTCATTTCCTGTTTTAGGCGGTCAACTTCGTCTTCATAATCCTTCCACTTTTTTATTTCTTTCTGTATCCTTCTCTCTTCTTCCAGATCAAGAGGGCAAGTTTTGAATTCGCCGATTGTTTGCTGAATATTCAAAGCTGGAGAACATCGACGAACAAGTATCTAAAACCGGAAATGAATAACTTTATCATTTAAGTTCCAATGTTTGATGATCTTTATAAGTGTTTATCGAAGATGTTGACCCAACAATTTATCTGTTTATGAAAGTATTAGACATGAAAGTCAAAATTTACTGAACAAGAGTCATGGTGGATCTACTTATTATAAAGGCTCTTGATTAACACTGTTTACTATCAATTAAAAAGAGCTATTACATCTTAATCTTTTACTGATATCACAAAGGTCATATCGGCTTCTGAAATCGTCATTGATGATTGTAAAGTCACGATTGATGATCCACTTGTTGATATTAAATTCAAGCCCCAGTAAGGAAAATCCATGACCCCCGAGGTGTGGCAAGTTTTAACACCAGGGACGTCTTCTTAACTATGTTTGCTGTAAAATATCTAAGCTATCCCATTGAATCACTCAAAGTACTAGAAAACCTATAAATTGTGAAGCACTGAATGTACCGGGAACATGAAATATTTAATTACTGAAAGTACTGGAAAACCTGGAAATTTGGAAGCACTGTAATTACTAGGAACATCAAAAGTACTTAAAACTTAAAAAAAACCTACGCACTGTAGATACTAAATGAAACCCTTAAATCGTGATTTTTAAAATTACTTGAATCCTGAAAATTGAGAAGCACTGAATGAACGGGAAACCTGAAAATTGTTAAACACTATAGAGCAATGAAATTATCGAAAATTGTGACGTACTGAAATAATTTGTACTTGAAAATTATGAAGAACTGGAATCACTGATACTTGTAAATTGTATCGCACTGAAATAACTGTAAATCGAAACTTAGTCAAACACTGAAAGTCGTAAACCACTAAATTTACTTGACACCTGAAAATCGTGAAACACTAAAAGCACTTGACATTTAATAATCGTGACTCACTCAAAGGACTGATTCTTGAAAATTGCGAAACATTGTAAGTACTTGACACCTGAAAATCGTGAAACACTGAAAATACTTGACACATGAAAATCGAGAAATACTGAAAGTACTTAACCCTTTCCTTCATGAGCATATTGTGAAAATGGCCGTTTTCATTGAAAAGCCTCCTGTTACATGTTCAAACTGCTATGAAACCATGAAAAATGCTTCAACTAATCAAACTTGGCACAAATGTTGACTGGACCATCGTTTTTGTAACGACATGCTCAGTCTTAAGTTTCCTGTTACCATAACAACGAGGGGATGTCTCAAAATTGCCAAAAATCACTATTTTGTCCTGATTTTTTCCATCAAAATTTATTTCAAAGTGCTGCAACTTCTCAAGGGATTGAGATAGAGTGAAAGGCTTTTCAGCGTTGGTAACACGTTACGTTATGATCGACCTGGGTTCAATTTTAGCCTCTCACAAGTCCAAAATTTTCTTGGCGATGAGGGGGACTACCGCCCCCCTTCAAACCCCCGAAACAAAAAGAGGCTCATCCCCCTGATGTATCTTTTGGATGGGAGGAGGGGGGGGGGCAGCGCCGTAAAAAGTGCTCACTTTTTAGCCACATTTCTCAAACGAAAACATGTGTTTGGGGCCCAAATAGGACATTTTTCACTGTTTGAGGCATAAAAGAGGGGGGAGAGTCGAAAGTGCGTTGTCTCGCGTATATATGAGGTAAAGGGTTAACACCTGAAAATTGTGAAGAACTAAATGCACTTGACACCCCAAAATCGTGACGCTCTTAAAGTACTGATACTTCAAAGTGTCAATGTTTTTATTTTAAGTCTAAATACATCAAGCTTTCGCAGAGATAAGTCAAAATAATTTACATAGTGTAAGAGATTTCCAAATTTACAAAAATTATTTTCCAATTAAATTATCTTCACTGTGGATGTAAAGTCTAAAATGTAAAATTTGAAATTCCTACATAAATCAAAATGGACATTTTGACAGAAATCACCTCAGAGAGGTAAGCTCAAAATTGAAATTTGCTTTTTTGCGTTGCATTTTTCAATATTTAGTCGTTTTTCACTGTTAGAATAATCGTTCTAGAAGCAACAGCGACCTACTTCAAACGGAACAATAGTCCGAAAAAATATTCCCTGTCCCGTCATTTTTAAAACCTCAATTGTGTCCCTTAAATAGAGCGAAAAGTGCTGTAAATAATTTCAATACTCATATGTCTCCATGATGAATTGACTCGTTTGAAATTGTTTGCTTGTTTTGACGTACGTATGTGTAGCGTCAAACATGTATACGTATAAATGTTTGACGCTACATGTTTATATGGATTATAATATCATATGATTCATTTAATTTGAATTTAATATCCAATAAATTTTTTTACATTTTTTAAGAATATATTACTTACCGTATATAATACGCTTTCTTAGTTTAAAAATGAAAGGTTACAAAGATAACAATAATACTATGATAGAGAAATGTACTCACCTGTTCAATATCATTCCACCAAGCTGTAAAATCATTTTGTTGTATTGCAGTCGTTGTTGATATATGACTTATCTGAAATAAAAAACAATATGATTCACCTAAAATATGAGCTCAAATTACTGAATCAAAAGTAACAAAAGCAAGCCCCACCCTTCCTCCCGTCTCCAGACAACCCACTACCCCCCTTTCCAAAACAAACCAACCAACAACAACACAAACCATTTTGTCACGGGAGACATTGATAATTTTGAATATAAAAGTAAGGTAGATTTGTTGTACACATAGATTTAAGACCCCTTTTACGTCCGCAGTAATAAGAACGATAAAATGTAAATTATGCCAAATTTGTTTATACGTGTATTTAGTTATACAGGCTTTGTTTTCGACAAAATGCAGGGTATAAAACCCAAAGAGTACAAACGGAACAATAGTCCGAAAAAAATAATTCCCTGTCCCGTCATTTTTAAAACCTCAATTGTGGCCCTTAAATAGAGCGAGAAGTGCTGTAAATAATTTCAATACTCATATGTCTCCATGATGAATTGACTCGTTTGAAATTGTTTGCTTGTTTTGACGTACGTATGTGTAGCGTCAAATATGTATACGTATAAATGTTTGACGCTACATGTTTATATGGATTATTAATATCATATGATTCATTTAATTTGAATTTAATATCCAATAAATTTCTTTACATTTTTTTAAGAATATATTACTTACCGTGTATATAATACGCTTTCTTCAATTTAAAAATGAAAGGTTACAAAGATAAACAATAATATCTATGATAGAGAAATGTGCTCACCTGTTCAATATCATTCCACCAAGCTGTAAAATCATTGTGTTGTATTGCAGTCGTTGTTGATATATGACTTATCTGAAATTAAAAAACAATATGATTCACCTGAAAATATGAGCTCAAATTACTGAATCAAAAGTAACAAAAGCAAGCCCTATCCTTCCTCCCGTCTCCAGACAACACACACTACCCCCTTCCAAAAACAAACCAACCAACAACAACACAAACCATTTTGTCACGGGAGACATTGATAATTTTGAATATAAAAGTAAGGTAGATTTGTTGTACACATAGATTTAAGACCCTTTTTACGTCCGCAGTAATAAGAACGATAGAATGTTAATTATGCCAAATTTGTTTATACGTGTATTTAGTTAATCAGGTTTTGTTTTCGACAAAATGCAGGGTATAAAACCCAAAGAGTACGACATGTAGAGAACATCATAATACACTTCTTATGAATGAGATATAATACTCACGAAGTTTAAAAGCCCATACCAAGTAAAATGTAAAACATTTAATGGAAAAAGAACAAAAGGAAAATTACTACAAAATTATGCAAAGCTAAGCTAAATCCCATCGTTTGTTCTTAAAGATCAAGGTAATTTGTTAGTCAAGATCAAGTTAAATATGGTATGTTTAAAGATTTTGTCAAAAGGGCTTTTGTGTTAAAGCATGACGAAAGTCCATTTAGAAATTACAAAGTAATGTTAAAAGTTTGCGGTTTTAACACGTCCATACCACAGGGACTAAATATCACTGTCCAAAACAATCTCCGATTGTTCAAGACTGCAGTAGTATCTCCGATTAAATTTCAATGACGATAACGAGTAATGCAAAACCGATTGTTTCATGTAAGGCAGTAATAATCCAACGGATTATGTAATGACTGTAGTTATACTTCGAATTTATTACATATGCAGTAATATCTCGTACTGTTTTATGACGGCAGCAATTTCACGGACTGTTTCATGACGGCATTATATCAAGGATTATTCAATGACGGCAGTTTTATGTCGGATTATTTCATGACTGCAGAAATATCTCGGATTATTTCATGTAGGCAGTAATATCACGGATAATGTAATGACTGTAGTTACACCTCGATTTATTTCATGACGGATGGCAGTAATATCTCGTACTGTTTTATGACGGCAGCAATTCTCGGATTGTTTCATGACTGCAGTACTATATCGGATTTTTTCATGACGATATTATATCTAGGATTATTTAATGACGACAGTAATATGGCGGATTATTTCATGACTGCAGTAATATCTCGGATTATTTCATGACTGTAGTTATATCCCGGATTTATTTCATGACGGTAGTAAAATCTCGGTATGTGTCATGACGGCAGTATAACCTTGGATTATTTCATAACAACAGTAATATCTCGGAATATTTCATGACCACAGTATTATCTCGTATAATTCATGACTGCAGTATTATCTCGGACTGTTTCATGATGCAGTTTTATCTAGAACTGTTTTTATAACGGACGTATTATCTCGGATTGTTTTTGATTGCAGTAATATCCCTGATTGTTTCATGACTGCAGAATTATCTCAGACTTTTTCATGATGGCACTATCATCTCGGATATATTTCTTGACGGCAGTATAATCTCGGATTCTTTAATGACTGCAGTATTATCTCAGATTTTTTAATTACTGCTTAAATATCTCGGATTCGATTTCTGCAGTAATATTTCGGATTATTTCATGACAACAGTATTATATATGCTTGTTTCATGACTGTATAGTAGTAATATATTAGCCTTTTTGATGGTAAAATATTAACTCGTATAACCCATAATTATTCATAAAAGTTATGATAACTCTAAAATTTTAATCCGAAAATGTCTCATATTTCATGACGTCAGTATTATCTCGGATTATTTCATGACTGCAGTTTTTATCTCGGGTTATTTCATGAGTGCAATATTATATCGGATTGTTTCTTGACGGCAGTATTATCTCGGACTGTTTTCAATGACGCAGTATTATCTAAGACTGTTTTAAAGCGGTCGTTTTATCTCGGACTGTTTCATAACGCAGAAATATCTCGGATTATTTCGTAACGGCAGTATAAACTTTGATTTTGTCATGTTCGCAGTAATTTTTCAGATTATTACATGAGTGCAATAATTATTATCATGGCTTGTTTCTTTATGGCTGTATTACCTTAGATTATTTTAATGTCGGCACTTATGTCTCGGATTATTTAATGTAGGCAGTAATATATTGAATTATTTTATTTCTGTAGTTATATCCCGAATTATTTGATGACAGTAGTAAAATCTCCAATTCTTTCATGACGGCAGTAATATCTCGAATTATTATATGATAAAAGGAATATATATTAGATTAATTCATGACGGCAGTGTTATCTTGGATTATGTAATGACTGCAGTATGATCTTTGATTGTTTCATGACAGCAATAATATCTTGAACTGTTTCTTGACGATAGTATTATCTTGAATAATTTCATGATGAAAGTATTATCTTGGATAAATTCATGACTGCAGTATTATCTCGAATTGTTTTTTAGCCCCGTTTTATCTAAGATTGTATTATCTTGGATTGTTTGTTGATGGTAGCAATATCTCTGTTTGTTTCATGACGGCAGCAATGTCTCAGATTATTTCATGATGGAAGTATTATCTCTGATTGTTACATTGCGGTAGAAATATCTCTGATTATTTCCTGACGGCAGTATTATCTCGGATTGTTTCTTTACTGTAGTATTATCTCGTACTGTTCTATGTCAGCAGTATTAACTCGGATTGATTAATAACTGCCTTATATCTCGCATTTTTTCATGGCGGCAGATTTATCTTATTTATTGTTTTATGGCGGCAGTATTAACTCAAATTGATTCTTGGCGGCAGTATTATCTTGGATTGTTTCATACCGGCATTATTATCCCGGATTCTTTCTTGGCAGCAGTATTATCTTTGATTGTTTCATGACGCAGTATTATCTCGGAATGTTTCTTGGCGAGAGTTTAACTCGGTTTGTTTTATGACTGCTGTTTTATTTCGGGGTTACTGTATTTCATGACGGAAGTATTACCTAGGCTGGTTTATTGGAGGCAGTTTTATCTCGATTTTTTTATGATAGCAGTTTTTTATCTTGGATTATTTTGATGATAGTAGTAATATCTTAGCAGATTTGCTGATAGTAGTAACACCTCGTATTATGTCGTGATTGATTTTATCATGTTATTAATAAAACACCTAGGGGATTTCATGACAGTAATGATAGCTCGAAAAATTTCATCCAAAATGTCAGATAATATTTAAAAAATATTCATGCTAACGGCTATATTATCCTTTGATTCTTTGATTTACTTGGAATGTTTCAATAGGGGCAGTATCATCTCGAAATTTTTCATGACGTCAGTTTTATAACGCAGTGTTTTCTTGACGTCAATATTATCTAGGATTCTTTTATGATGGCAGTGTTATCTCGGATTGTTTCATGAGGGAAGTATTATCCCGGATTGTTTCAGTAGGGAAGCAAATATCTCGGATTCTTTCAAAGTGACAATATTATCTCTGATTGTTTCATGAGAGACGTATTATATTTTATTGTTTCATGACGGCAGTATTATCTCGGATGTTTTCATCGTGGCATAATAATATCTGATTGTTTCATGAAGGATGTATAATCTCGGATCGTTTTTAATGACGGCACTATAAGCTTGCATTATTTCATTACTGCAGTTATATTTCGGATTGTTTCATGATGGAATATAAGCTCGGATTGTTACATGGCGGTAGAAATATCTCTGATTATTTCCTGACGGCAGTATTATCTCGGATTGTTTCTTTACGGTAGTATTATCTCGTACTGTTCTATGTCAGCAGTATTAACTCGGATTGATTAATAACTGCACTTATATCTCGCATTTTTCATGGCGGCAGAATTATCTTATTTATTGTTTTATGACGGCAGTATTAACTCAAATTGATTCTTGGCGGCAGTATTATCTTGGATTGTTTCATTCCGGCATTATTATCCCGGATTCTTTCTTGGCAGCAGTATTATCTTTGATTGTTTCATGACGCAGTATTATCTCGGAATGTTTCTTGGCGACAGTTTTAACTCGGTTTGTTTTATGACTGCTGTTTTATCTCGGGTTACTGTATTTCATGACGGAAGTATTACCTAGGCTGGTTTATTGGAGGCAGTTTTATCTCGATTTTTTATGATAGCAGTTTTATCTTGGATTATTTTGATGATAGTAGTAATATCTTAGCAGATTTGCTGATAGTAATAACACCTCGTATTATGTCGTGATTGATTTTATCATGTTATTAATAAAACACCTAGGGGATTTCATGACAGTAATGATAGCTCGAAAAATTTCATCCAAAATGTCAGATAATATTTAAAAAATATTCATGCTAACGGCTATATTATCCTTTGATTCTTTGATTTACTTGGAATGTTTCATAGGGGCAGTATCATCTCGAAATTTTTCATGACGTCAGTTTTATAACGCAGTGTTTTCTTGACGTCAATATTATCTAGGATTCTTTTATGATGGCAGTGTTATCTCGGATTGTTTCATGAGGGAAGTATTATCCCGGATTGTTTCAGTAGGGAAGTAATATCTCGGATTCTTTCAAAGTGACATTATTATCTCTGATTGTTTCATGAGAGAAGTATTATATTTTATTGTTTCATGACGGCAGTATTATCTCGGATGTTTTCATAGTGGCATAATAATATCTGATTGTTTCATGAAGGATGTATAATCTCGGATTGTTTTTAATGACGGCAGTATAAGCTTGCATTATTTCATGACTGCAGTTATATTTCGGATTGTTTCATGATGGAATATAAGCTCGGATTGTTTCCTGACGGCAGTTTTATCTCGGATTGATTCATGGCAGCAATATTATCTCGGATTGTATCTTGACTGCAGTAATATTCCGGATTCCTTTTTGACGGCTGTATTATCTCAGATTGTTTCACGACAGCAGTAATATCTGGGATCGTTTCTCCACGACAGGATTGTCTCATATTTTTTCATGCCGGCAGTATTACCTCGGATTGTTTAATGATGGCAGTTTTATCTTGGATGGCTTCTTAACGTCAGTTATATCTCGGATTGTTTCATGACGTCAGTTTTATTTTGAATTATTTTATGAAAGTATCAATATTTTAGCCTATTTGATGAAAGCAATATAACCTCGGATAATGTCGTGTTGGATTACTTCATGACAAAAATAAAAGCCCGGAGTTTTTCATGAAAGTAATGATAGTTCGGAAAAAAAAATGCATCGGAAATGTAGGATAAAAAATTCAAATTCTTGTTTAAGATGCACATGTTTTAACCTTTACAGTACGACTGCACAGCTACTATAAAGATATGCAACACACCGAATTAGTTCTTGTCTAGACAATATTAGAAGTTGTACTATTACATGTTTTAAGTATGATGATTGATTAAATTATATTTAAGTTAAAGTTTGGCAGAATTTCATTACTTTTAAAATACGTAGATATTTATATTGCCAATATATACATTTACTTTTATTCTTCTGTATTGCCAAGGCATGAATTTATAAATTTGCATTTCGAATATACTTACTTTATTTCGGAAATTCTTTAACCGACATATGTCTGCTTCCACTGTTACATCGGTTGGTGCTGGTGTTGCCCCCCAGTCAAATTTTTTATTTAATCCAAAACATTTCAGGCTTCTAAGAAGACAAATAATAAGCGTGATGTCCAAATCTGACGAAGTTGGGACTTTACCACCCGCTGGAAACAACACGTCAAATTGGATCTGGGTTATAACGCCGCGGCTTTTCAAACGTGTTATTGTTGACTTTTCTTGATTCAAGCACGCACTGAACGTTATGCATTGAGATGTCAAGGACTGGTCCAGTATATTTCTCAATACCAGGAGGCCACCATCAATGACTAGTATTTGTAACCGAAACAAAAATATACGGTTATCTAGCGTCTGTGGCTGACCTCCGGTTGCCATTTTGTTTACTTCTTGATTTATTACATCTGTAATAGCCACATCTGTAAATGATGAAACGTACAAGTTATTTAACTGCTTTAAACACTTCTTATTATATATAAACAATTTATGTTTATGATTTCGATACATTACATATTCTGTGTTTCTGTCAAATAACGTAGATTAAGACTTCATTATTCTAATTCATTTAATACAAAAATAACCTTTTTAAAGAGAAAATGATTCAATAATCATTTTATGTGATTAATAAAAATAAATATCTAGTAAAAGAATTCAAAACTAAATTTGATATTATTTATTGTAGTCTGGGATAACAATTACATCCGTTCTGTTGAATTTTGGTAAAACAATAATCGATGGTGATATAAATAATGATAAAACATAAACACGTCCACATTATCTTTTGTTCTAAAGATAACAATTTAATGATCCTATAACTTAATTTTTTAATGTATTTAATCATAAAAATGACGCTCAAATGGAGATTTATGAATATTGTAAGTTCCAAAAAGCATTATTTAAAAAGATATTACCGAATTTACACCTCATTTAAATAAAAAGGGGCAATTAGAAATTTATTTTCCATAAAGTCTAAGTCAATCTTTTTCAATAAAAAGTGAATGCATACATTTAATGAATACTTATAATGCGTATAAACATTTGCAGTACATAATACTTTATTGTGTATATGTTTTAAAAAGCTTGAAAAAAGAGAAATAGGTCTTCAAGTAGAACCATCTTGGTCAACTGATATATAATCAGATTTCGTTAATTATTGAGGGGGCTTATTAGACGATGACGATACATAACGAATACTTGACATTTAGGCATTGCATTTCAAGAAAAGGTATTTCAAAAAAGACTCTACGCAAGGTCAATCATTATTTAAATGAACTTGGTAGTGACTGAATATGCAATAATACACACAATATCTATGCTTTAGCCTTTATTTCAATTGAAAATTCAAAGGGGAATTACTGAAATCCCTTCATACATTAGTTGCTTGATCAGGCGAAACAAATTAAAGTAGCTACAAATGATTTTTTCGATTGACACGTTTACACGCCATTAATCTTTCAATACATTATTTATTTTTTACATTCATTACAAGAGAGACTAAGAAATATGATACAATTCAACTCATTTAAAGGGCGCAGACAGATTGATATTTAAGTTAATGATTTGTCGTTTCTTGATGAAGTACTGCGAATGACTTAACATTACATGTGAAATCGCAGCGATTTCTTCTTTTTATTTTACACACTCTCGTAACTGATTCATTATTGGACACACGCACACAACAAGAAATTGAGATGGCGTTTATATGTGTATTCTCCCTGCAGTGTTGTTTTTTGGGATTTATGACTAGTTGTCAGCTAACACTATTTAAATTATTTTCTTATATATAAAACAGATGCAAAAGAAGAAAAGACATAAATGACCTATTTTACTGATTCATAGTATCAATGCCAGCTTACACGTGTATTTGTTTTGTATAATACCGTATTACATTCATATACACGTGAGATAATAATTTGTCAACTAGACTGAACTTTCCAACATCATATTAAACATATAAGGGTACTTCAATGCACACTAACTATATTATAACTATATTTAAGTTTTATTTTAAATTATACTCTTTATAAGTCTTTACAAGAGACAATATTATATCTTTGGTGTAGTTCTACCAAATAAAAGCAGAACAAAGCATGGGAGGATTTCTTGATTTTTAAGTGCTCACAGCTGAATTTTTTTTATCAAGTAGCGATGATAACTCAAAAAATGAGAAGAATATCAATAATGAAAGGTGACATAAACAGAACAAAGCCTCGACGCAACCCAACCACACTTGAACGGCACCCAGAAATGTACCGAACCAAAATATTGGAGATGACAAAGGCAGCAAATTGAAATGGAGGGGCATGCCAAAAACTGTGACAGCTATCAATAAAAAGGTCTTTTTTGAGGACTAACGAGACAAGGATTTGGTAAGCAGAAAATGGTCCATGAATGAAACTTAAAGTTTAATGCTGCTAAAACCGCTGAAAACAATTTACAACATATGACATCATAGAAGGTGTCACCATACAGATCATGTCACAATAATAAAGACATAAGCACATGTGACTTAAGGTGAACGCATAGGAACCGCCTTGGAACTATAAAAGGCAAAGTTTTACCTGGTTGTAAACGAGAAACACCTCGTTTTTAGCCCAAATATGTTCTATTTTGCGAGAAAGGGTTAATAAAATAATTCAGCGCCAAGTTAAATTCTTAGAATTGTCCATTGTCAATAACTAAAGGACAATATGATAATTTAAATACGGATAAAAAATATACAACACAATGACCATACGAAAACTATTAGAAAAATACTCGATGCGTTAAATAAAACCATAGCAACAAGAAAATCAAATCGCGTTACAAATCGTTAATTTGAGATTAATTGTTTAAAAAAGGTAATACATTTGTTATTACGGTCACATTCAAAACCATTGAAGGTAAATGTTGATGTCAACGCAAATCACAATTACAATTAAAAACAAAAGGTGGGCCATGATATCTCTTATTTGGCTCACGTCATTATGAAGGCTCAGTCCAAATTTCCAGGATATTTGGACTGGAACAATGTCCCCTAGAGTGTTAAAAACGTTTTTCCATATGGGGGCTGTGTGGCCTAGTTTTTTACCCCAACTGACACATATTTTATCTTAAAATGGTTCAATCTAGAAATCATCAAAGCAACCTTTCTGACCAATATCCCGGATATTTGGACTAAAACAGTAGCCCCTAGAGTGTTCACAAGGATTTTCCATATTTGGGCTGTTTGACCTAGTATTTTTCCCCAGGTAACCAATATTCAAATTTGACGTAGGATAAATTAAAGCAAATTTGACGTAGGATAGATTAAAGCAGTAAATAATAAACCTTGAGGTGCAATCCTTTAACGTCTTGTTTAACGTTTTTGTATTTTCTGATCGCATGATCAGTAAATACATAGCTAACATCCACGGTCTAACACAAAATTTCCTAACAGACCAAACAACGCAAAGTTGCTTAAAACCAGCAATTTAAAAGACAGAATAATTGTTAATGTAGGCATTTAACGAATTACAGTGCATTGAAAGTTAAGATTAGTCAATAAAAATATGAGGTTACAATCACAAATTTCGCGGATGAATATCATTTTAATCAATGAAAATGCTATTTTTAGCTATGTCGATTACTGAATACTCCAGGGCGTAGTATACAAATAAATCTGACTGCCGAGTAGTGGAATATATACATGTCGGACTGTTTTGGCGAGAAAATTTTCGCTAAATTATTTTTATCAGTGTTAAACAGGTTTATCGTGAACAAAATACCTCGAAATTGATAAGGATTACAAACACGAAATGGAAATTCTCAATTTAGAATTACAATGTATTTGTTTTTATTCAGGCTACATATTACGTATTACCGTGGTGCAGGGGTATCGCGCTCGTATCGCGCTCGTTTAGGGTGTGAGAGGCCTAAGGTTCAAATCCTAGTCGAGGCAACTTTTTTTAAGTGTCTTTTTTAAGGAATAGCCACGATATGCAAGGATAAAGTGTGGCTGTCATAAAAAATGATTTTTGATGCAACTCTAGTCATGCAAAATTCCATATGTATCAATCTCAAACTGTTATAGAAAAAAATCTTAACGCAGTCGCTGCGTAAGATGAATTATAGTATAGTCTATGCTACACTAAATAAAAATACAACAAACTCAGATTGCATGACCAGACGTGCGTGTTTATTCAGGCGAAATAGCAGTCGAATAAAACATGAATTAAGAATATCAGAATAATTATGTTTTCGTTTCATAGATCATTCAAGTTTTATATAGTATGTTGGCCACACAAATTATAATAGCATACGTCTCTTGCCTCTATAATCCACTTTAATAACAATAATAAAATAAAAATAAATAAAAAATCGGTTTGAAAAAATCAAAGGCACGCAGACGCGAACTGTCTCGCCCAGGAAAAACACAGAGATCAAAACATATTATTCTTTTCTTTTGATGAAATTTCTCTGAGAAACCTGTGTAAGTTTGTCAATGACAGATCGCTGAATGTTAGACCGCATTCTTATTGCTATTATCAAATAATATCAAATATGAAATTGATTAAATCATGATTATTTAAAGACAAGAAGTTATTCACAAAATATTTTATAAATAAAATACTGAAAAACACTTCTGCAAAAATAATGACCTTTGTATCTAAGAAAAATGCAAACGTTAAATACGTCACAGAAACAAACTTCCTTAAACAAAATTTGAAAGTCTAAATACTTTCAAAATTTGTAGACATATCTACTTTTTTTTAATTTAATACTAATTGCTCTCTTCTTCTTTTTCTTTTAAAAGAAACAAAATTAACACATACTATGAAGTTAAGATTTGACTTGTTCGGAGTAGAATGGTAGAATGACCAGTATCTAATTACACAACTATTATATGTACACACAAATACATGTATGCTTCAATGAAAAACCCGTGCAAAATACACACTGACCAATATCAAATTTATCACCCTTTGTAATACGTTACGCGTTTAGACAAATATTTCACGCTATACTACGAAACGCGTGAAATAAAATAAACATAAACCTATATAGGAAAATACATACAGATAGTCAGTACGATTTAGATTGCAAAAATCAGAAAATACCACAGAGCTTGCAGCCCTTTGATTTTTTATAGAAACCAGACGAAAATTGCGGAAATATTATTCAAGACTTGTGCACTGATACAATTAAATTGTATAACACCGAAACATTCGTGTTTATAAGCCCCATATTGTCCAGAAAATATGTCCAGCTGGAAAAACACAACCAATTTTATTACGTTTTGTTCACAGTTGTTTAGCAAGTCATTGCTTCGCCTTGTGATGAACTGGAAAACTATTCAACTTACCAATTAATCTTTGTCTAATATCTATAAATGCAAGACATTGACCTTGAACCCATTGACCCAAAACACAATCTTAACTAAAAGGACTACTAAC